AAAAATACTGCATGATCTCACTTACACATGGAATCTTAAAAAGTACAATAATGATAAACAGATGGCAGAACCGTGCTGGTTACCAGAAGTGTGAGGTGTGTGGAGGAAACAGGAAGATATCGGTCAAAGTACACAGTTACAGTTATGTAGGATGAATAATTCTGCAGTGCTCACGTACAGCGTAACTGTAGTTAATATATTATATTATGTAGTATAAATCAACTTCAAGAGCTCCCGTTATAGAAAAAAAGGTAACTAGTTATGTTCATCATGTAGTAATCATTTCACTATTTGTCATCCTTGTGCAGGGGCCATGCTAATCTTCTCTGTATTGTTCCAATTTTAGTATATGTGCTGCTGAAGCAAGCACTGTCATGTAATTCTTTTGTCTCCCTTTTCTTTGCTGTCTTTTGTTACTTTTTTCTTTTGTATTTATAGGTTTTGATTTTATTCTTTTGTGTAACTTCTATAAGAATCTCGGTGTTACCAAGATTACATAAAATACCCTATAGTTGTAATATGAGCTGATAACAACTTTACTTACATTAAAAACTCTCTAGTTTTCTTTTCTGCCCATTATGTTTTGATATTCCACTTTATAACTACTTATGTTTTCCTGAAGATAATTTATAGTTATTATGCCTTTTAAGATGCTTAGATAACAACCATAGAAATGAAAATTATTACCTACCAATATATAGTAATACAATGTTCTGTTTTTGTCTACATATTTGGCTTTATGAATTAGTTTCCCACTTCATTATGCTCTGTTATTGGTGTTTAGAGTCTTTTCAGCTCAAACTCCCATTAGTGTTTCTTGTAAAACAGGCCCAGTGGTGGAAAAAGTCTGTCTTCTTATTATTTTTGTTACTTATTTTTTCTTTTTTTGTTACCAGGAATTAAACTCAGGACCTTGTGCTTACAAGGCAGGTGGTGAACAACTGAGCTAAATCCCGGCTCTCCCTCTTATTTTAGAAGGGCAAGTTTTGAGGTGTAATATTTTTGGCTGCAGGTTTTTTTTTTCCAGAACTCTTGAATCTATCATTCTGCTATTTTCTGACCTGCAAGGTTTCTGCTGAAGAAACCACATCATAGATCACCAAGGAAATGCAAATCAAAACAAAAATAAAATCACCTCACATGAATTAGGATGGCTGTTATCAAAAAGACAAGGAATAACTAGTGTTGGGTGAAGGTGTGGAAAAGAAGGAGCACTTGTACTTTGAGAGTGAGAACATAAACCGGTAGAGCTATTTTAGAAAACAATATGGAAATTCCTCAGAAAATTAAAAATCAAATTGCCATATGATCAAGCAGTTTCTCTTCTTGATTGATAGATATCGAAAGGAAATGAAATCAGCAGCTTGTAGAGTTATCTGCGCTTCAAAGTTTATTACAGCTTTATTGATGATAGCCAAGATATAGAGACAACTTGTTAACAGGCAAATGGATAAAGAAATTATTGGATATACAGATGTTCCTTTCCTCAGAATGGGGTTATATCTTGATAAGCCCACTATAAATTTAAAATACTCTAAGTAAAAATGTATTTGATACATATAACCCTCATAACATCATAATTTAGCCTAATCTATCTTAAGTATGCTCAGAACACTTGCAGTGGTCTACAGTGGAGTAAAATCATCTAACACAAAATTGTTTATAATGAAGTATTAAATATCTTATATAATTTGTTGAATACTATGCTGAAAGTGCAAACATAATGGTTATAATAAAGGTGAAAAATCATAATTCCAACCACCGTAAAGCGGGAACTGTGTCTATACAAGGGCTGATCAAAATATATGGTCAATGTTCAAATTCTTGAAAATTTATTACAGTAAAGCTACATTGCCATTATTTCCTCTCAAAGTACTCCCTCAGTTTTAACATATCTCATTATTCTTGTTACTTTCTAAAGCAGTTCTAGAAATCTTCTTTCCTTGAGTTTCTTCACAAGATGTGATAAACAATGTAGTGAATATTGCTACCAGGAGCCATGCAAAGGACAGGCAGGCTCATGAATACACGAGGGGGTCCTCATCCACATTAGGTGCCAGATTGGGCACTGTGCAACTTCTGCTTCTTCCTCAGAGTCAAAATTACCACGACAGGCAAACATTTTTAACTGATACAGGATATCAAGGCAGCCACAACAGCATGACCAAAGAAATTCATGAAAGAGGGCTTCCAGAACTGCTTTGGAAAATAGCAAGAAGATGGGATAAGGGTGTTTGAAATAAGGAGGATTAATGCCAATACATCTTTTACTGTGACAGAAATTTATGAAATGTAAACATTAACCATATTTTTCAATCACTACTTGTACAGTGGAATATTATTCAGGCTTAAAAAGGAGATTCTGTCATTTTTTACAACATGAACTTAAAAGTCATTATGCTAAGTGAAATAAACCAGACCGAGAAATAAAAATACTGCATGATCTCACTTACACATGGAATCTTAAAAAGTACAATAATGATAAACAGATGGCAGAACCGTGCTGGTTACCAGAAGTGTGAGGTGTGTGGAGGAAACAGGAAGATATCGGTCAAAGTACACAGTTACAGTTATGTAGGATGAATAATTCTGAAGTGCTCACGTACAGCGTAACTGTAGTTAATATATTATATTATGTAGTATAAATCAACTTCAAGAGCTCCTGTTATAGAAAAAAAGGTAACTAGTTATGTTCATCATGTAGTAATCATTTCACTATGTACATGTATACTGATGCTGTTCTTCTTACTTATATATAATAAACAACAAAATATCAAATCGCTGTGAGGTTTATTATGCAGCAATTGATTTAATAATTTAACGAAGTATTTTTCTAATGACCATTCCACCAACGTAACAGCCTCCTTTAACTTGGGTAATGCTATGAACAAACTTTAAGCCTTGTCTCAGGCAACACTCTGCAAAGGCTGGGGATGCAATTGCTTTATGGGTCCAAAAGCAGAGATCAGACAATCAAGTGACCTGTGCCCTGCACTGGGAGGCCAAGGCTAAAACTCAGAGTTCCTGAGCCAGAACCTGGATGGGTCTGTCTGAGTAATTGGGCAGTTGGTTTCCTAAGGAACTGAGAAGTACCTTTCTGAGGCAAGGAGGTCAGTACAAAACAGCCTCAAAATGCTTGAAAATGACTTCTCCTTTGTACAAAGTTCAAAGAATATAGCTTGTCATATAAAGCCAATGAGTCAAATTCTTTATTTTTCCTTTCAGGGAACAATCCCAACAGCTGTGGGTTAGGCCTTTAAAAATTTCTTCATCCCCTTTGACCTACATCCCCCTAGTCTTCTGGGCAAATACAACTTTGGCTGCCTAAATCAGACAAATTCAAATCCAGCTTGGAAGCAGTCTCCTGTCCCTCTCTATCCTCCACCTGCTGACTGGTAAAACTGTCTATGGACTTCCCAGGAAAAACCTTTTCAGTACATATGCAGACAGTTCTCACATGCCATGATGTCTTAATCTTCCATGGCTACAGGGGGCTAAAACCTCCTTTTAGGAGATGACCGTTTCCTGCCCCAGCTTTTTCAGGGGTGTGGAATAGTTGTTCAGTTGCCTCCTCAGTCTCAGTCTGATGGGGTAGATTTCCTGCTGGTTCCTTCTTCACCCTGGCCATTGCCTCCTGTTTCTCTGGGAAATACAGCTTTTTTTTGAAAATTCTTTCGGTAGTTTCTCATCAATTCTTACTCTACTTCTTTTAGAACTCAGAGTCAAGAGGGTAAATATGTTAGGCCTATAGGCTATTTGGTCTCTGTCATAACTCCTCAACTCTGCTGTCACAGAGCCAATGGGCAATATGTAACAGAGTAGGCATGGGTGTACTCCAATAAAACTTTATTTATAAAAGCAGACAGTGCAGGATTTGACCCATGGCTGTAGTTTGTGGACTCCAATCCTAGAATATTTGGCTATTGGGTTCTTCATTCCCTTAGGTCAGGGATGGGGTGAGGGGGCACAGGACAAAGCAATGAATCCAGCTCAGCTTACATTTCCCTCTGAGCCAGAGCACAAAGCCTGTGCTGTTCTTACAATGCCATGTCCATAAAGGCCAGGGCAGCTTTAGGGATGTATGAATCCAGATCTGGCAGTCCAGTGGCTGTCCCTGGATGAAGGTGATATCAGAAAGGAAGTCATCCAGGTGCTCAGACGTTGGGGACCCATTTCTCCTACTCAATTTGCACTAGAAAATCCTCCCTTCTCATCTAACAGGAAGGAGGATTCTTATTTCTAGCTGTCATGTTCAGAGAAAGACCAGTTTCATAAACTTGGCGATATTTACTTTTTTAAAAAACATAATTATTGACATGGACTGGACACTGTTTATAGGGTTGCTATGGAAATGAAGTCCCAGGATGAAGCCTGAGAAAAGTAGGACAATTGGATTGGATGGGAATAAATGTTTTACAAATCCCACCCCACCGGGAACAAACAAGGGTATTTTAAGCTAAAATGAGTAAGACCTATCTTGATTGCAACATAACTTCACAGAGGGTCTCTGCCTCTGGAGTGTGGCATTCTGCCTGGATGACAACAGCGATATTTCTCAACTGACGCTCCTCCCATCACCATGCCTAAGTTCCTAGAGGCCCAGCCATGTGTAATTCATGTCTGTGACTTTCATCATTTAGCTCAGTATGCAAAAAAGTTTTTGTATAACTGCCATGACCTGAATATAAGAAGTTTCTCCCTCCCAATTTAATTTCTTTTTCCAAAACCCAATGCTGCCCTTCCTGTGACACATTATCAGTGTTCAGGGTGGTCCCAGGAATTTCAGTTCTACTCCAGCTTCAGCCAAGTTAAGGGGAGAAAAGGCACATTGCCTGGTATTTCAAGTTGGTTCATACAAATACTGTGGCTTTCTCAAGAATATCACAGCCTCAAGAATAAATGAAAGACAAGTACTTCATTAAATCAAAGCTATAAGATTCTTTCTATCTCAAGGTCTGTACAAATTGTCCCCTTAGGTTTTGTAATTGTGAGAGGAAAAAAGCGCCGTTTTTCTCCCTCTAACACAAACACTGTACCAATTTTACTTCATGCCTCTGGGAAAGTTTGGAAATGCTAAGTTCTCCTGTCTTGGCATCTTTTAATTTATCCATGACTTGGCAGTCTGTAGCACTGTTCCCCTTCCCTAAAAACACCCTTCAGGTGATCCAGTTCATCCCCTATTACAACTGACTGCTCAGAGAGGTTATGTGATAGAGTCTGTCATGGTTTAGGTCAGTGTCCCCCAAAGGCACATGTTTTAAAAGCTTGGCCCCAGCACCACAGAGAGGTATGAGGAGGAAGTTAGGTCAGGGGTGGGGTGGGGGATCTTTGAAGGGGACATTGGGAATCCAGGCCCCTCTTTCTTTTCTT